TTTGGTGAAAGGTAGTGAGCACTCTTAGAGTCCTGGATGGGTAGAGGCTTGAGAGTGGCCCGCTATAAGGATGGAGCCGAAAGAGAAGGGAAGACCGGATACAAATAGTAGAGGGGGAAAGAGAGAATATGGAATGGAAGAACCTTACCCCATGAAAGAGAGAATATGGAACGGAAGAACCTTACCCCACGCGGGTGTGTGGAATTGCCTTCCCATAGGAGATGACCGGAGGGGGAGAATGGTGGATGGAGGAGACCCTTTTGCATCGGCCAGTGTCACCCTCAAGGGAAGGCCCACAGAAAGAGGATTACGGTAGCCTAATCTTGAGACTCCCTGTGCATGAACCCGTCCAGGGAGTCACAATTGCATCCAGGCAGGGACCCAGTTGCACCATCCGTCTAAAAGGGAAGTAGGCGGATCGGGTCACAGATGCTGCCGGGTTGTCCACTGACAGTGTTGGGTCCAGAAGGACACCAAGCGTGCCTTGGGAACCACCCAAAGAACAGACATCAGTGTAGCATTCAGCCCTGCTCTCACCTGTCTGTCACAGCTGGGCAGTGGATCATCAGCCAATGAGGGGACGGAGGGTGGTGCAGAAGGAGGAGGAGCTGGAATATATAAAGGGGGTTATGAAGTATGTGAGGGCGAGAGGAGATATGAAATGAGTTTTGAGAGGGAGATTTTGTGAGAGTTAGTGATTAGCATGTCTGTAGGCCTGTGAGCCAAATAGTCAGTGAGGGAAAAGTCTGTGTGTGTTAGTGAATGAGAAACCTTGATTGACTACCTGTGATTTACCCATTTTATTTTGTTATACCAATAAACAAGTTTTTGTTTGGAAGAAACACTTGTCTTTTTAAATATTTGATATTATTGGTGGCAGCAACTGAAGAAGAAGAGTGAGCACTCCTGGAGGCCTGAGTTGGTAGAGGCTTCAGAGTGCCCGCTACAATCAGGGGTACCCAGTAGAAGGGTCCCCCCGTCTCCTTCGGATTCAGCCTTCGTCTATCCTCCTGTTGAAGGAGAAGGTGGGAACAGAAATGACGTTCCCTGTTAAGAATATGATCATCAGAGTCCGAAGTACAGGTGGAAGTGGAGGGTGCAAAGCAAAAAAAAAAAAACCCAGCCTGGCTTGGGGGGAACAAGAAGGGGGGCTTGAAGGGGAACCCCCATGCACCCCAAATCAGGACGACCAAGGTTTGCCTCTTGTCAACAGGACCTGCCTTTGGTGAGCATGGAGCTGGGGTGAGCAGGATGAAGATATTTTTGAAAAAACCACCCTAAACAAAATGCAACGAAAACCATACCCCAAAACACCACCACTTTGCACATGTTCAGAGAGGCAGTGTGGTGTCACGGATGGAGTCCCAGACTGGAAACCAGGAGGCCTGGATTCAACTCCCTGCCTGGCCAGGGAAACTGAAAGGGGAGAGAGTGTGTGTGGGGCAAGGCTGCTTCAGCCACCTCTTGAAATCTCACTGACCTGGCAAAGGTTGTGAGTGACCTGGGATTTGGTTCTTCCTTTTTGGTCCCAAAATAAAGCAAAGAGAAATCACCTCCGTCTCACTCCTGCCTAGGAGAAAAGACAAAGAGAAAGGATCAGTCTGGAGGCTTCGTGGATAAAGCAAATCAAAAACATTTCCTTGTGGGAGGTATCTTCCTCATGTTTATATCGAATGGGGCTCCCTCCCCATCTCTCTCTGTCCTCAGGCATCAGAACAAGACGAACACAAAGGGAGGGAGGCAGGCATTATCTGAGGCCATGGTCTGAGATCAAATCCACCACCACCCCCAGTTCCCAGGGAGTGGAGGCAACAGCCGGGAACCAGAGAGCAACAGGAACCATCCTGCTTCCCGCTGGCACCGGTGATGAAAGCAGCGGCACACAAGAGGGCATTTCTCCCACTATTTATTTAAAATATTTTTACCCCCTTCTCCTTCTCTTTAAAAAGGACTCAAGGCAGTTTAAGGTACAACATTAAAAGGGCGCACATTTGAAAGTGAAAAACAGGAAGTCTAGAAAGCTTAAAAAGCATCGAACCGATGCTCCACTCAGCAAGGTCAACAAAACCAACCTCTTAAAAAAATGCCAGAGGCCCGTGCGATAGATGGAGTGGAACGAGGGTCGGACGGGCCTCCCCTGTTCTCATGGGAACCTCCATTATTTCTGTCCTTTTGGGGATCCCAAGAGAGGGGAGGCCGCAGGAGGGCGAAAACCTAGGGAGAAGAATCGAGGGAGCAGGTCTTTTGCACAGCCAACGTCCCTGAACATCTCTCTCTGCCCCCAAACCTTCCTCTGCCTCCTCTTCCTCCTGCAGAGAACCCCCCCTCGCTTCCCACCCAGGCATTGCAGCGTTAAAACTCCTTTTCCCACTTTTGCAGAAGAGATGAGTCTGGGGGAACCCTGGGTGGTGGAGGAGAGGGAGGAGGGGGGAGAGCCAGTTTCCCTTCTCTCCTTCCTTTCTTTTCCCCACAGCCACCGAGGCCTCCAGGATTCAGGAGAAAGTCAGGTGGCGGGTGTCTCCTTAGAGGAAAACCCAGACTAGTATGGGATCACGATGTGTTAGCAGAGTTGATTGGCAGGAATCGTGAGGATAGGGATAAAAGAGTTGAATTCAGGTTCATGGGGTGGGTCTTGGATAATTTCATGGATGCTGGAGTTCTCCACCCTACGATACGTTGTAATTGGAATTGTGGTTCTTATTATTTGGGGATTATTTCTATGTGTTCTATCTAGACTTTGGCCTTTGTGTGTTGCTTTTCGTTCATCTCCAAGCCCAGGAATGGCTATGCAAAGAGAAGCAGATTCCAGTTCAGCGTTATTTCAATTGTCAGAATTCAAAATTATGCAGAGTCAGAGCAACTGAACCGGGATGTACAGGTATGCTGATCTGTAGTTTTGGAGTATGATTCTTAGAATTCTGGGAGTTATACTCTGAAGATCACAAATCTACACACATCTAAGGATATAGTTTCCTCCTTATCTCATATTATCCGGTGTCATCTCCCGAGAGTGTGTGGACTGAAATAGACCACTCCGAATATCAGAGAATCACAGAACTGTGAGGTTGGAAGGGGCCTACAAGGCCATCAAGCCCAACCCCCCGCTCAAGGCAGGAATCTGGTCCAAGCAGATCTGTCAGGTGGGGAGCTAGGTTTTTCTTGAAAGCATCCAGGGTTGGAGTACTCCAAAATATTTGAAACATAAAACCCAGCAGGGAGACGGAGGCTGAAGCCCATACATCTGGGCCCTGCTTGGTACTCTAAATATATCAATAAGATAAGGAAGTTGGAATACACTTTCTTCGAGACAGTGCGGGAGAATCCTACAGGAAAGTCATCAAGGGGAGGTAGGCAGACCACAAAAATCTATAAGGGACCCTTTTGTTTGTTTTCCGCACGTTTATAGCCAGGCGGCTAAAAACCCTCACCTGGAGAGACCTTCTTGTTTTCCAGATATCTTGAGGAGGACACCCCCAGGCGGAGCTCTCTGGCCTGGATGCAGAAGATCCCGTTTTCCCCTGAGGAAATAGGAAGTCAGCTCCTGAAAGAAAGAACACCAGCAGTTGAAGGGGAAACCATGAGAAAAATAGGGTCGAAAATATTGCACCGTCTGCAGGCCTGGCCAGCAGAGACACACTCCCAATTCAGAAAGGGGAACTGGCAAGCCCAGAAACCAATTTCTTGAAGTAAAAAAAAAAAAAGAAAACTGATTTGATTCATGGCATCCCATTGCAGTTGAAATCTAGGGTTTCACAAGAAGGAATCTGGGACGTTTTGTTGTTCTGCCTCTTGAGGAGACTTTAGGGAGGAGAAGCTCCCTTTGGGTTTCCTGGTGTTGCTTCACAGAGGATGCCCCCAGTTGGTGGTGAACGATGAAAGGGCCCCCCTAAGGAAATCCATTTAATTTAATTCAATTTTATTTTTTTGGCCCTCCTCCCTCCTGCATCCTCACCTCCTCAACCATCCGAAAAGGACTCTGTGTGTGTGTGTGTGTGTGTGTTGGGGGGCGGGATCTGTGACCGGCCCCCTCCCTCCCAGCTGACCCACACACACAGACCTTCCTTCTTCAGATCCTTCTAGCTTTGAGGATTTCCTTCCTTCTGGAAACGCATAGAGGCCAGTGCCAGGTATACATATACGCACTAATAACCCGTTTTTAGATTAGTCATACATATTTACAAGCTTTATGTTGGTTATTATTTGTTTAAATTGAGCTTAAGTGAAAAGAGATAGTGACATCTAGGGGCTTGGAGGTGAACTGCAGGCAATCATCCCGATCATCCCTTTCAGTGATCATCCGTTTAGTACATCCCTAGGGGGGGAAGAGTGAAGGATGAGATTCCAGCCTGGGAGGGAAACATTGGGGGATCCGCTCGCCCCCCCCAAAAAGATCACCAACGAGGAGAGTCTGAAGGGAAGGTTTGCAATTCGGGTCGGTCCAGGAAAAGGGGGGGTGGGGTGGATTATTTGCCACCCGGAGGGAAAGGAGAAGTAGACCCCCCCTTCCCTGCCTCCCCCCTCCCTCGGAATTTGCCTTCCCTTTTTTTGAAGGAACCCCCCCTCCCTCCCCACTATTCTGCTCCCTCCCCTCTAAGGCTCACCTCCTTGCAAGTCCCCAGGCGGGAAACTCCCGAGGAGGCTCCCTTTGCACGGGCCCTCTTTCCCCCCCACCCACGGAGAGACCATAGAGACGGGAGGGGACGGACGGGGCCTCCCACCGCTTCCGGTTTGGAGAAAGGCGGAAAAAAGGGGGAGGCGCTCCTTCTCGCCTCTTTTTTCGTAGCTCTAGGTTTCCTCCCTCCAACCTCCCCCAAACGGTTTCATGAATGAAGAGAGGGGGGCGGAGGAGAAGGGAGGAACCTGCAGAAAGGGAAGGGGGGGTTGTCCTTGAGGGGGGGTAATAAGGAAGAGGACAGCCCCCCTCCCCCCATCTTCTTGTCAGGGGGAGAGATTGACTCTCTAGGATGATCTCTGAGGAGTGGCGCGTCTCTCTCTTCCTCTTTCGTAGCTCTAGGTACTCCCCTCTTCGCTCTTCAGAGTTGGATGTAAGAAGCGAGGGAGGAACCGGAAGAGGAAATCTCTCTCCTCCTGGCCCTTCTTTACCCCGCCACCTCTATGGTCTCAGGCAGGCGCTCTTGCAAAGAAGGAGGACTCCTCTCGTGAGTTTCCCCGCTTGCTTCACTCCAGCTGCACCTCCTTGGGGAGGCGGGGGGGAGAGGGGAGGGGGAGTCTCCTCCGGGCAATCCGGATCGCAAACCGGTTTCTCCCTTTTGGTTTGCAAGGCAGGCTCCAGCTTGCAAGAGGGGGGCCTTCGACCGTCTTCTTCCCCCCCTCCCTTGCAATCTCTCCTCCTTTGCCGGGGTGGGGGGAGAATATTCAGAGGGCGGTTGATATTTCCCCCCCCAAAGACTCCTCGTCCCCCCCCGCAATCACTTGGGCAAAGTGGGGGCCAAGGAAGGCGGCCAGGATCAGGGCCAGTCCTGGGGGAGGAGATGGCTGAGACTGTCTGTCTGTCTGTCTGTCTGTCTGTCTGTCTCTCTCTCTCTCTCTCTCTCTCTCTCTGTGAGTTTGTGTGTGTGTGTGTGTGTGTTCCTAGATCATCTTGCAGAAAGGAGGGCTAACCGGATCCCTCTCAAGATCAGATCCTGACCTGAGGATCAAGTGCAGGAGCGGCTTCCTTGTTGTGTTGCTTGTGTCAAAACAAACGGTCTTTTTCCGAAAGACAGGCAGGAGTGAAGCCGGAGACAGACAGACAGAGAGAGAGAGAGAGAGAGAGAGAGAAAAGGATTTTCCTCCTTGGGATCTTTCCTAGCAGACACTGAAAGGGAGATCGGTCACCCCTTGGATGTCCTTCTTCCCGCAGAGCTAAAACTGGTATGGTGTGAAGGTGCAATTAAGGGCCATCCGCTGTGCAAAAGACCTGCCCCCTGGATCCTCCTCCTTCCTCCTAGGGATTCGCCCTTCTGCCTCCCCTTAAAAGCTGGAGCAAAAAAGAAAGAGGCCGAAAGAGGCTCCTATCCTTCCACGGGGGGGGGGGCAGGAGGAGAGAAGGACCAGATAATTGTGACCCAGCCCCTCTAGATCTGCAGGTGTTCCCTCTCCTGGCAGGTCTTTTGCAGAGTGAATGGCTCTGAAGGGTCCGTTCCAGACCAAGGGAATCACAAAACGCTTTGCTTTCCAGCAGGGGCTGCCGACACCAAGACCCACACACCCACCCTCGGTTGCCGCTCCTCCAAGGCCCTCTGAAGTTGGCAGTGAGCTCCAAGGGAAGAGCGAAGCCTAAGCGAGGTTGGGGGTTGGAAGACAGCAGGTGAGAAAAGTCCTGAGACCTGAACTCGGCGCACCCTGGGTGGGCAACCCCAAGACACACAGGGCCCTTGGCCCACGAAGGGGGTACGGAGGCTGAGGAGCCCTTTTGGAGATGCCCCCTGCGTTGGGATCCTCGAAGGGACCGAAAATAGTGTTTTATTAGAGCTTGATTTCGTTTACCATCCGTAGTGTAGCTTTGGTTTGATTCATTTTAAGGTTTGTATTCTTGCTGTTTTTCACTTTTAAAAGTTGCCTTTTAATGATGTACCTAAACTGCCTTGGGTCCTTTTTAAGGAGAAAGGTGGGGTAAAAATATGTTAAATAAATAGTGGGAGGCTTTTGACTTAAGGGAGACGCTTAAAACTTAATTTCTGCTCTATCCAGGTATCACCCCCCCTTTTTTAAAAAAAAGATTCTGACAATACGAAGGACGCTGAATCTAAATCTGCTCCTCGTGGTTTAGCCTTTCCTGAACAATAGGCAACATACAGAGGCCAAAGTCTAAATATAGCATGCACAAATAACCCCAAAATAAAAAGAACCACAATTTGAATTACTGATGCTCCCCCCACCATTCGAATTACAGATGGCCCCATGACAACAGAGGGTCCGGTCCACTACATCGCACGGGGCTCTGGTGTTTTCTCGATGTTGATTTCCTTTACCATCCTTAGTGCAGCTTCGGTTTGATTCATTTTAAGGTTTGTCGTCTTGCTGTTTTTCACTTTTAAATGTTGCCTATTTCTGATGCACGTTAGCGATCTTGCATCTTTTTTTCATGAGAAAGGCAGGATAAAAATATTTTAAATCGACCGTGAGAGACCTACCCTCTTGTATTCTGCTACTTTCATTGCATGTGTCAGAGGGAAGTTACGCCTGCCTGCCTGCTTTTCTTTTCCTCTGGAGAGAGATGGGGGATGTAGCCCCATTCAATAGAAACAAGAGGAAGGAAATGTTTTTGATTTGCTTTATCCCTAAAGCCTCCAGGCTGATGTTTTCCTTTTCTCCTAGGAAGGGGTGAGACGGAGGTGATTTCTCTCTGCTGTTTTTGGGACCCAGAAGAAAGAACCCAAATCCCGCATCCCTCCCAACGTTTGCAAGGTCAGTGAGATTTCAAGGGGTGGCTTACCTAGCCTTGCCCCCCCCCTCTCCTCGTCTCCGTTTCCCTGGCCCGGCAGGGATTTGGATCCAGGTCTCCTGGTTTCCAGTCTGGTTCTCCATCCGCGACACCACACGTCTTCTTTGAACATGTGCAGAGTGATGGTGTTTGAAGGTATGGTTTCCTTGGTAACCGATGCAAGAGGGGCAGCGTCTCCTCCGTCCACCGCTCTCCCCCTCCCATCACCTCCTCTGGGAAGACATTTCCACACAACCCGCGTGGGGGAAGGTTCTTCCGTTCTACCTTCGCTCTTTTTTCCTTTCTTGTTTGCTTCCCCTCTTCCCTTCTCTTTCGGACCTATCCTCTTCTCTCCCATTTACCCCAGTAGAAAGGTTTCCTGGCTGAGTGATGGTTCCTTTCCCTTCCTGCCTCTTCTCTTGGTATCATCATCCTCTCCCAGATACGAATCCATGCTTTCTCCATCCAGAAACCTTCCCACCCTTCTAGCAATCACTTACTCTCTTCACCTCTGCCGTTCTGGCCTCCACTTCTCTCTCTCTCACTCACTCACTCTCTCACTCTCTGCTCCTGGTCCTTCTTATTTCTAGTCTCCTTCCTTTTCTCTCCCCTTCACATCCCATGTGGGGGTGGCAACGTTTTCCCTTTGTCCCATTTCCCCTCTTTCCTGGCTGGACCCTCCTCGCGGAGACGACGGAACCACGGATCAAGACTCCACACTCCCTTTGGGTCCAAGACTTTGTGTTTCACGCACTCGTGTCCCTCGGTCCCAATCCCAACCACCAAGGCAATGCTTAACAGTCCCCTCTTCTTACCTTGGTCCGAGCACGGAGTGGCCTGGTTGTTATATTTGTGCCCATCAAATTCTCCCGGTCTCCTTCACCGGGGTGTCGGACCTCTTGGGTTATCTCATCTGCGCAGCCGAGGTCCCCGCCAGGGAAAGTAGGCTGTCGAAATCGATGGAATGCGTCTCCCTGTTTTCTCAGCAGTGGAACACAGCAGGAGACTTGGATCCCGGACGAGCCCCCAGTAGTGAGAAATGCTCACACACTTGTTACTTAAATGCAAGAACCAGACAACCATGAATACAAGCAGCTCTCCTTTATTAAAAAGCCCTTTTGCAAAAGCGGATCTCCTAACTGGGTAGGCACCCCCATCAATCCAGGCAGGATGATCTTTATCCCCTACTCCTGGCCCTTGTTTCCCTCTTGGTCTGGGCAATCCAAGG